GTTAGTCTAAGCACAACTCTGTACACTAAAACACAAATTATAGAGTATCAGTACATTTCTGTATAATAAAAATGGTAACTAACAAATGTTTCCAAGCCGATGAGAACAATTTCTTTGATGTACTGCTGAGAAGTGCTTGTGACGCACATGGAAGTGATTAGAGAAACACAAAAATAGAAAAGAGTGAAGTCGTGGCAAGGCTCGTCTTTAGGAAAATAGTCACTACATTGTTTTAATTTGCTTAAATAGGGGACCTTTTAAATTAAGGGTTTTTTCCATTTTCCAAAAGCTTAGTATGTGAACTGATTTCCAACTGCAGAGGTGTGCAGTGCTTGTAACTTTACAGCCGCATACCAAAACTACTGCTTCATGTTCCTCCAAACTGCCTGAAAGTCCTCCGCAGAGACATTACAGGAAACGATTACAAATTTTCCTTAAATTAACAGATTCTTTTTATTGGAATACAGTAACTTTGCTTACAGAATTATGTTACAAAGACTTCTCTTCTGTTTGACAAAGGGAGATCCATCACTGTGAATCTGTTTCATCCTTGCCATAATTTTGAACATTACGATTTCTTTCATGAGCTACAATTTAGGTTTTACCAAATATTTCTCTTGATTAGTAATTGCTAGGAGATGCAGGACACACAAACCCATAAATACAACATTATATTAACTCATTAAAAACTTTCCATCAAGGAAGTATAACAACTCTCTGTGGCAAGAAGCAACAGCACAGTGACGTGTACATAAGTAGGCTAGGCCTTATAGATCAATGGTCCAATTTATGACTCAGATTTGTCTTGAAATGAAGCAAATTATGTTTACAATTAAAGGCTAGCCTTTCTTGAAGGAATGCATAACATCTGCCATCTTTCATGGCAAAATTTAATTTCCAACAGTTGTCACAGCCACATCTTACAAGATGTTTTCAGTGCCCAGAGTGTGTGTGGAGTAGGGTTGGGCAAACTCATATTGTGTGTCAGAAAACTGTCACCTATTAATATTTGCCACTTTTCAACAAGTGCCGCATGATGATGACATATTTTTGTGCATGTCGAACGCTTACGTTGGACTTATGCTCCTATGTTTAATAGTTTTTGAGCCATAACCATTTTTGCATGTCCAGATACCCCTTTTTCATATAAATTGGGGGTCCAGGGGAGGGCACTGATTGGTGGGCCTGATGGATAGAGCTTCATCAGAGCTAAACAACAAAAGAAATCTGAAGCTCCTATGTTGAACAGTTTCAGAGTTATGAGCATTTTTGCATGTCCAGACACCCCCTCATTGGACGGAGCCCCCTCCTCAAATATGGGGTGTATCGTAAAACCATTGGCTGGCGCAGTGTAGGTTGGAATCATTTACAGTCCTGCCAAATTTAATGTTGATTGGTGCAGCCGTTTTTGTGCTATGGTTGACCAAAAATCACAGAAAAAAAAACAACAACTAGATACCACACAGCGGTAACATAATGACCCCCGCACACACAAATGCACCAGAACTCAGAAGTCTTTATTCC